GCTGATAATTCATGTAATTTATAAAACACAAATCATTAAAAGCAGCAAGAGAAGCTGTAGAAGATCTCCTGAGGCTCTCTCAGACAACTATCATACTTTTTGTATAGTTCTAGCCTCACAGTAGAGAATGATAGAATTCCCATTGACTTCATAAGGCAGTATTTCCATCTATAGAACAGAAGGGCCCGTATTTTGTCAAGTTATATAGAGAGATGTCATCATAACAACACTATAATTTAAATTTTACATAAATGTAATATAGCATCTCATTATTATTATGCACCTGGATTGGAGCAATCCAACATCATAGAAGCAAAGATTGGACCAGTCTTAGAAATGATTTAATCAGTTTCAGTAAAGTTTTAGAAAAGTGAAGTGATAAACACAAAACCCTACCAGCTATAGGAGGTATTCATAATTTTATATCGCGTATTTTATTTTATTTATATAGTTATATATAGAATATATACTATTTATAAGGAAAGGAGCTTTTCAGACCCATTGGTGAATTCAGCAGTGCTTTAAGGAAGCACGCGTGTCTATGCATTAAAGGGACCCTGAAAGGCAGTATAGCTGTATTCATGGCTGAAAACAAATGAAGAAAGTCTGAAACAGAAGGATCAGTTTTGTGCTGCTAAGATGTAAGTAGCTAAGAATGGGAAAAAAAACATATGTGGGCTAATTATGTGCATGTGAATGTTCAAAATAGAAACAATGAAGACTGATATGGGTAAAACTGACTTCAAAGGAAGATAATGTAGACATGTGCAAAAGATACATATCACCTGTGTAATAACCATTGCTTAATTCCTTCCCACACATACATATTTTCAAATTTTAACTCTATAATGAACAGTTTTAGCTGACAATTTAATACTAACATTTCCTTCAGTGTAAAAGCACTAGAAATGCCAGTTAGTGTAGTTACAAATAATTCCGGATTGACAACTCAAACTGTGAGAAAAAAAAAATCACAGAAGTTGTAGCAAAGAATTAAAACTGTTGCTACCAAATGTCTGCAATAAGGTCTCAAGAAACGAAGTGCTGATTACAAAACTTGCTATCGTCCTATACTCACTGTCTCAGAACACTATAGAATATAGAGCATTTCACCCAGGAAATAGAAATGAATTTTGGTCAGAAGACAGAAAAGACTGAAGTGACCAGTTGTAGGGTATGGTCAAAAGAGCATACTGACAAGCAATCTGTTTACATGCAACCTGTCCCTTAAATACCCTTACATCTCTATCTTCTTACACTCTTTTACCTCCCAAACACCTCCCCCTTTCCCTGTCTGTTTCATATTAAAAACATCTTATAAAATGTCTTGCAGAATACCAAGCTTTATCCCATAACCAGTAACCCTCCTTGGTCTGTAAGGTGATCCAGTTGATTGATCTTGATGGCTTTCACCACACAGAAAATGGAGTCCTTCTGTGATTGCCCTGGAAGAAGCCAGATCAGAATGTTCCAGTTTCTCTACTTCAGTTATAAGGGTTTCCTGACGATCACTGTCCCTCTGTGCACCTCTGTCTCTGTGAATATGAACTTCTTGTTTCATAATCTAACAGTTTCACTCTAGATTCTGGGAAAAAAAAGGTTTTAAAATTAAGAAGATTTTCTATTTTTACTTTTGTATCACATGATTCAAAATCTGTGAACTGATCAGGTTTTGCCTGCGATAAGTGGTATTTTTTATGTTGCTGGGATTATCAAGGTAAGTAGAGTTACCTGCACCAAACTGGTTTCTGCAAAAAATTAGCTGATTCTATCAACCACCTGACATGCATAAAGAACAATAGCATCATTACAAACTGGCAATTATAATTTAATCAATTGACCTCTTCAGATAAGAGTTTCAGTAACACTATTTATCACATCAGTCCAACAAACTCCCACTTCCTTTGAAATGTTTAAAAGCTGGATCAAACTGATAGGTAATGTACAACCCTAAATTTAATCAACCGAACACTGCCTAAATTTCTTGAGTATTGAAGCTATTCAGGCATTCTGAATCATAGAAAAGACCCTTAAGATCATTGAGTCACACCGTTAGTCTAACACTTCCAAGTCCATCACTAAACCACGTCCTAGTTATCACATTTACAGATCTTTTAAATACCACTACAGATGGTGACTCAGCCACTTCCCTTGGCAGCCTGTTCCAGTGCTTGGCAACCCTTTCAGTGAAAAAATTTTTCCTGCTATCCAATCTAAACCTCCCTGGGGAAACTTGAGGCTGTTTCCTCTTGTCCTATCGCTGAGGAATGAGGCCAGAATGCTGAGTTAAGAGATGTATGAGATATGGATATGTTGGGGAGCATCAAGTGTAGGATGACCGTAAAGTCTCTCGCATTAACATGGGTAGGTCTGTTGTAGAAATATATTACACATGACAAATAGAACACCCAAAGTGACAATGAAAGAAGATCTGTGTTAGATTCATCATACGAGTGATTCCTGAACTTTATCAAACAGAAAGCCTTGCTTTCTTTCCCTTTCTGTGGTGACATCTGTGAAAATCAATCAAATCTTTTTCTAACTACTTTACTTGCCTTCCGAAGCCTGCAAAACAAAACTCTGAAAATGAATTATCCTAAATAAAGGTTTCTTCTAAAGCAAGAAAGACCTCTTAAGAAATATATATATAAAGTGTTTAAATTTTCTGTAGTGAATCAACCTTTTGTGAATTTAGAGGAACTTGAGCTAGTGGAGACTGCAAAGACTTTGAAAAATAGCTACACACTTTACACATCATAAACTACCAGATCCATATACTGAAATGCTGAGTGCTGGTCTAGAGTCAGAATCTCTGATTCTATTGCCCTTGCTATTGGAAGTCAAGGGTTCAGGTGTTACTGACCATAGGGAAGATGTTATAATTGTAACAAAGACCTAAATAAACTAGATGTTCTGGAGTATCGTAAAATAGATTTTTTGGCTGCATTAGCACATGAATGGTCTAATAAGAGATGTAAGTGTGCTGAAGAAACAGCTGAAGTAAAAAAACTTTTATTATACAAAAGTAAGCAAAATAGTGAGAATATATATAACAATTACCATATGGATACAAAAACTGGCCTAATTTGGAGAGAATGCAATCCATTCTTCCTGTCCTGCAAGTGCTTTTACTGTACTTAATCTAATTTCTACATTGCATAATTCCTTCTTGTTTTGAAACAAATATACATTTCTAAGAAACTCTAATTCGTATACAAATCTTTAGGAGACAACCTTGCGTTGTGAATGTTTCATTTCTTTCCCAAGCTTGCACTGTAAAAAATGTAGACATTTTTTCAAATGGCAATTTTGAAATTACATGAAAGTGTTTTTGCTTATGGTTTTGTTAGAACTGTGCTTAGTTCTAACATGAAACAGATGGGAGTACAGAAGGAGTTTAACCTATGGTATATCTTCCCATGCAAACACTGCCATTGTGCAACTAATTTCATATGGTGGAAAAGCAAGAGCTGACTGTCTTCTGCTCTTTTATCATCTCCCATATCTTGAAACATGTATCTAATTTCTTCAAGAATTTCCAGATCATATGGTGATTCCCACATGAAAAGGAATCTGAATGAATTTTTCTTGCTATGTAGGTCTGATACACTCTGGATAGGCCTAGAAGAAAAAAAATCTATTATGGAGGAAGATCTGGGCCTTTTGCTATTCACCTATACATTAGGTGAATATGTGAAGAGGCAAGCAAACCAAAGTGACTACATTTTTGAGAGTAATTAATTTTAAGAGTGCTAACCAATAGACCCTTTTCACTAGTTTTTACTAGGATTCCTAATACCTGTAGCTGTTAGCAGTAATACCAGTTTGCAGGAACAGAATACTGAGTTTGAATAGCCAATGGCCAACAGATCAGGTTACAACAGTTTGTAGTAACCTTTGTACAACAGGGTCAGAAAAGGAGAAAAAAAAAGTCCGTGACTGAACCGCCAGAATTACTTGGTGCAGAATTATCAGCTTAAATATCTGTCATGAGAGAATCCAGACTCTCATCTTCCTAATGAGGAAATAGTAGCAGACTCCAAGTATTCACTGACCCATCTCAGCTATAAATCCATTTCATATTACATTCATGTTCAAACATCCTTGAATAAGTAAATAGGTAGCAGTTACACATAAAGAAACTAGAGACATCTAGATAATGTAAAGAAATAAATACTTAGGCTTTTCTGCAAATAATAGATCTAGTTCCACATCTTCATTAACAATGTATTTCCTTTTTATTTTAATGGACCTTTTACTTCACAATGCCCTGTAAAATTGGGCTCACTTTTAATCATGACAAATACGTATTGGGCAATCCGGATGGCTATGCAGCCAAATCCCTCAAAAAGGGAATGTTGCACAAGCACAGAGTATAGCATATGACAGGTGTTAGCAATCCATGGACAGCATAGTTTCAGATAAACGCTTTGTGAGTAGCTTTATGAGTTTACGTTTCAGTTTGCCTTGTGAACACTTAGAATTTTACTACAGAAGACTACACGGAAAAAGGCGATTAGATCAGATAGCTAGATTAGATTAGATTTAGATTAGATTAGATTAGATTAGATTAGATTAGATTAGATTAGATTAGATTAGATTAGAAGAGTTACTGGACCCGGTGCTCACGATGCAGACGAGCTGTTTAAAGTGGTTAAGCTTGGAGGCAGCCTGGGCTGTAGCCCGGGACCGGCCGAGCTGCCGCTGGACCGGAGAGGCGGGATTACCGCCCGAACAGGGCATGCGGACGGACTGGGCTGGGTTCTGCAGGGCAGGGCAGGTCAGGGATGTTCTGGAGCCTGAGCCTCGCCGGGATGCTCCGCGCCCCGCACTCCTCGCTCCGGGGCCACTCCGGTGCCGTGGGTGTGGGCGGCATCCTCGGGTCCGGCCTCCGGTCACCCAGCGCTGCCACCCGCTTGAGCATCCGCCGCTCTCAGACCTCGCACCGCCCGGCATGGTAAGTCCCGCTGCGTGCTGGGGCGGTTCCTGACCCAGAGCTCCGCTTGGTCTCCTCCTGCCCGCCCGGCTGCACCTCTCTGGTTTCTGCGAGAAAGGCGCAGAGAGGGTTGGAACGAACAAGTTTTAGGAAAGAATTTTGTTCTAGCTGGCAGGATTTCAGACCTACAAACCTCTGTCAGAAAAAGGGACGGCAGGGCTCAAACTGCTCCCGTGTTCCAGTTTAGCAGTTTCCCTAGACAGTGTTCTCCAGGGGCTTTCCAAATATCACCAGCTGATTTCAGCTGGGCTCCCCATTGTCCTGTTAGTTATGACAGTTGTGTTCATACCGAATTGTTAGGCTTTCTCCTCTATTTCTTTCACTAGTATGAGTATAACCTCACTGATATCTACAGTTTTACGTGAAATATTTAGGAAGTTGTTTGCACTATGGTACAAAGGCCTTTTATTTAGGAGGGAAAAAGGCATACTTTCCCCTCATGCTCCAAGTGCTTGATGGAGAAATGGACTCAGATTATAATACTCAAATACCACCACATACTATGACTATGATACCACATACATGCACAAACAATGTGACCTCCAATCTTTATGCTGCTATGACTAGAAAACAAAGTTCTCTTCACAAGCCCCTGAAAGGTATACTTTGGGGAATTAGCATCCTGTGTTAGCATCTGCAAAAACCATTGCTCACCAACTGTTAATACCATTTACTTCTAGTCCTCTTAGAATGATAGAATCATTTAGAATGGAAAAGATCATGAGTCCAACCATAAACCTAACACTGCCAACTCCTCCACTAAAATATGTCCTGAATCACCATACCAATGGGTCTTCGAAATACCTACAGGGATAGCAACTCAGCCACTTACTTCCCTGGGCAGCCTGTTACAGTGCTTGACAACCAGTGAAGAAATCTTTCCTAAGATCTGATCTAAACCTCTCCTGGTGCAATTCGAGGCTGTTTCCTCTCACATGCTGTCATTTGTTCTTTGGAAAAAGAGGCCTACACCCACCTTGCTTCAGCCTCCTTTCAGGCAGTTATCCGGAGTGATAAGATCTTCCCTGAGCCTCTTTACTCCAGACTGAACAGCTCCCTTACCTGCTCCTCACCAGAGTTGTTCTCAGGACCTTTAACCAGCTTCATTGTTCTTCTTTGGACACTCTTCCTCAGATTTAACATAGAGATTCAAGGCTATTAGTTCTCACCTTTAAACTGTGAAAACAAAAAAATCAGAGCATGCCATATCTTGATTTTTCTATATTCCATAACTTGGCTATTTGCATTTTAATCTCTTTTCCCCTTTGGCAGATTACCCAGTCTTTCCATCTCATGCCCACAGGTTTGAGTAGATCAGAGCTACCTCTTTTGCAGCTGCAGACTACACACCTTCAACCAGTATAGATAGATAATATATTTTTAAGCAGCAGACCAGCGTGTTAATAATTTACTAAACTCTCAGTAAAACACCACAGCTCCTTTTGACACAGAAGACTTTTCTTCACTGCAGGACTCCCTTTTCTGCCTGAAGCTTTTGCATTCCACGGCTCATTCTAAACTCTCCTTGTCTTGCTGAGACTTGATAGCAATGAAGTTTATTGATCATGGTGCTTCATTCTCTATTCTGAAGTGATGCAATCATGAGATAATCACTTTCCCCCTCCTCCTTTGCTCTCTTTCTCATTTGGACTTTTCAGTTTTTATAACCTCTTTCCAGGTAATAAGGGATCGTATGTACATGATTGCTTTCATTCAAATTGCCCAGATTTTACAAACCTTTTATTTTTAGTGTCTTCTAATTACTTGGAAAATGCCTACTTTTAAAAACAATCTAAAGTTTGAACTGTTAAATTGCAGCTGAACTATACCAAAGATTTAGTATATATAGATTAATTCAAAGAACTAATCAAGACATGCCAGAATTTATAGGTTTTTTTTTCAAAACTAGCTAGCACTACTTTCTGCATAGTTTATTGTACCACTGCATAACAAATCCTCTTCTAAAAGGCCAAGAGAATTCTTATAGAAGTTGGAAAACTGATGAATTATGAGCAGAATCTGTCTTCCCTCAGGTTCTAAAACACAGTCCTAGCCAACCTAAAAGAAAAGAAGACACAAACAAACTCTTCCTCTTTCTATTCTGTAATTTCCTATCACTGACCACAATATCTTTGTTTTGTGGAGTATCTCCAACAGTTACATTTGAGGACAGTAAAAATTAAAGGGAAATTATTAATTTCACTTTGTGTACAGTCTACCCACTTCATTTCAAGGAGGTTAATTATATGGAATTAGAAGGCTTTAGTTACTAGTATTCACTGAATGTTCTTAATTACTTCCTTCTTAAAATTAGCACAAGAAAAACAGAATCATGCACAATTGTCAGATTTGTTCTTTTGCTTTCACAGTAAATCTAGTAGATTTAGATTGCACCAACATTGCTATTATTATAAGAAACTTAACAACAACAAAACTATTGTGATGGAGCTACTTGTTATTGTCTTTATCAGTGTCTATTACTAAAGAAATGTTATATTTATAAAGTGAAATGTCCTTCTTCCTGAGTGTGCTGCTTTGGTGTGCCCATGATGTCCAGTGACTAACAAACAAATGCGTTATGATATGAAAAACCTATATTTACCCTCCCCTTTCTCTATCACTTTGCCTTTAACCTTCCCCAGATGGATGGAGATCTTTTAGCTCCTGACCAGGCAGTGGAACAGCTATTGTATGGTTATTGCGATCTCTCTCCTTTTTTTTTTTTTTTGTGGTTTGGTTTGGTTTGGTTTTTTTGGTTTTGGTTTTTTTTTTTTTTTTGTAACTGAGAAAGTTACATCAGCACACAACACGAGGTAGGAGAAGAGCATTTTGCAGCATTTGGAAGCAGTTACTCTAACCTGGGGGAGATATGTGTGATTTGGCAGTGAGGAATGTTTCCTGGGAGCACTTATTGTTTATGAAATTGCATAAAGAAGGGTGGTGTAAGCTGAAGGAAATGTCAAGTGAAATTTAAAGTGACATGGATGTCAGTGCTTTGCATAGTCTTGCCCAAGTGCCATTTATGCAATCTTTTTTTGTATTAAAATTGGAACAGAGGAAGTCTCAACATGAATCACCAAGCCCAAGCTCCAAAGACAAGTGATGATAGCTGTCTAGGTATAAAGGTACATTGAATGCAAGTGCTTTCAGAGAAGCGATAGCAAATGTGTGTGACCATAAAACTTGAGACAACAACAAGTATGTTTATAGATGTTGGTGATAATTTTCTGATTATGGTAACTAATCAAGAGGTTCAGGTAGCATTTGGTAAATTCTGCATTTTGCATCCATGTTTTCTTTCTTCCAGGAGAGACAAACAAAACAAATATGATTAAACATTCACATTTTTCAAGAATAACTTGGTCCCGGTGTATAAGTTATGAGGGAAGGGGCAACACACCATCCTTCCTTCTGCCTTTGGTCCTCAGCTTTAGAACAGAGCACATTCAACAGGCTGTTTCTCATTTTCAAAAAAAAAAAAGAGATCCTCACTCTTCAACTATAGCCATTGTTTTTTATTATTAATAGAACTTTGCATTTGGCTTAACAGGTATGACAATGAAGCAGGAAAACATGACAGTGTTAGCTGCATACAAGTTTTTGAAAAAGGTTTTGATTGGGCATCATTTCAGTAGATGAAGATTGCTAATCAACAATGTTTTATATGTATATCAAATTTGAAATAAAAGAGCAGGTGCATTTACTGTTATTGGTTGGAGAAAAGCACGTGATTGCCCGCCCCAAAAGTTTGTGCATTAAGTGTGCAAGAAAATAATGCCAGAAAAATGCTTGAAAGGAAAAGAAAGTGTTTTTAGTATCCAAAAACATTGCTATTAAAGAGGAAGTTTAAAGAACAGACAAATTTGTTGATCTGTCAGGTTGCCTTGGTTTTTTTTTTGTTTTGTTTTTTTTTTGGGTTTTTTTTGTAACTGAGAAAGTTACATCAGCACACTGATGTAACTCTATTGCTATATCCCCATAATTTACAAAATATTTTAAGTGTTCAGTGCTTATATTTTGCTGTCTGATTCAGTGTATATTTTAGCTATACAATACTTGCCATGAAGAAAATTCAAACTCTTTTTTTATACATTAACTAAAATAGAAAGGATACCTGTAGCGTTTTCCTGTGCGGTTACAGGGAAGCTCAGCAGCTTTGACCTTTGTCTGGTACACAATGAGGAAGATAACATTTAGTAAGTTTGTAACAAATCTGTCATGCCTGTTGAGAAACATTCTAGGTATAGCAATACTTGGTTCAGTGGTTACACTCTTTGAACCCTCTGTTTAAAATCAGTTCAGCATGGGGGAGAAGTTAAAGTTCAGTAGATAGTTCAAAAGAGAATTGGAACATTTTGAACTTTTTTTTTGAGTTCAGTAGTGTCTTGCTATGAAGACTGAACTTACCACCCTGTTTGTCTTTGAGCTTTAATCAGCAGGTGAACCAAGTTTACCTCCTACTACTTTGTCATCTACAGATCTCTTGGGGCAGTAAGGGAATCTTTAAATTGTGCTGTGCACTTGATAGTGTTTTTTCTACTTTTTTTAATGCTAGCAGGTAGAAGCAACTAGACATCCTTGTAGAAGGGACACTAAATAGATCAGAAAAAGTCAGGCAATCAAAATCTAGTTTTCTCTCTCAAAAATTATTTCTATTTTGTGCATTTTCAGAGTTCAAAGTATGTGCTGAAATAGCTGAAAAAGAAGACTTAAAATTTAACTTTATAAAACAGATCAAACTATTTCTTTTGCCTCAAGGGACCTTGCCTTTGGAAAATATTTTCTCAAGATCAAACCTGGTTTTAATGTTCAAGAATAACTTTGTTGCTACCAAATACACAGAATTGCAATTGCCTCTGAGATAAATGCAGGCTCTAAGATGCAGCCGATGAGGAGATGGATCCAAAGGGTCTGAAGTATCTGAAGTACTGTACTTAGAGAAAGGCTAAGTCTATGTAGCAGCACTAACAAATGTTTCCCTGACTAGCATTTGGTATGTCTCTAAAGGTTTTTACTGCAATACGAGGCTGGCATAATCTTGTATCAGTAGAATTGTTGTGTGGAATTTTTTGGCATGCATGCCAATGAAAATAAGGGCAATGTGCCAAAAAGAATTGGGAGGTCTGTGACTCATTTTCTTCCTGCTTCCAGATGAGTGAGCTGGTGGGAAAGTGAGCTAAAACTGTACCTTTTCCTGTCTGCTCTGTGTGAGGCGGGCACCACTCTCAGGATCAGTGTTTGCTCCTCTTCAAGGAACAGAGATTCTGAAACTTAGCAAATGCTTCTGGAACAGGTTCTCTTCATGCTCTGCTTCCACATGAATAACACCATCCATCCCTTTATATCTTACATCAGAAATGTGGAATATAGAAAAAGATTCTGGCATATGCTGTGTGCTGTAAAATATATTCAGATTCTGTGGGACACAACCCCAGGTCACTCTGAACCCTTCAGTCCAGTTTTCTGACTTTAAAACAGCACTTGTAAAACTTGTCAGATCGTTGCAATGCCAGACAAAGCTCACTCTTCTGTGAAACATCTGGAAGTCTGGGCTGGAGAATTTATCACTTCCAGCTTGACCTGGAAGTCATGAATTCATTACTGGCTGAATGGCAGATCCCAGAGGGTCGTGATCAGTGGCACAGAGACTAGCTGGAGGTCTGTCACTAGTGGTGTCCCCCAGGGTTTTATATGGGGCCCAGTACTGTTTAACTTGCCCATCAGTGACTTGGATGAGGGAATAACGAGCCTCCTCAGCAAGTTCACTGATGATACAAAACTGGGAGGAGTGGCCAATACCTCAGAGGGCTGTGTAGCTCTTCAGAAGGACTTCCACAGGTTGGAGAGAAGGGTAGAGAAGAACATTCTGAAATTCAACAAGGCCAAATGCAGGGTCCTGAGCACCTGAGGAGGAGTAACTCCAAGCACAGGTACAGGCTGGGGACTGACCTGCTGGAAAGCAGTGCTGCAGAGAAGGACCTGGATGTCCTGGTAGACAACCAACTGCCCATGAGCCAGCAGTGTGCCCTTGGCCAACGGAATCCTGCTCATTAGGAAGAGCATTGCCAGAAGGTCAAGGGAGGTGATCCTGCCCCTCTGCTCAGCCCTGGTGAGGTCATATCTAGAGTTCTGTGACCAGTTCTGGGCTCCTCAGTACAAGAGAGATGTGGCACTTCTGGAGCAGGTCCAGTGGAGAGCTATGAAGTTGACTAAGGGACTGGAGCATCTCCCTTACAAGGAAAGGCTGAGAGAGTTGGGCCTGTTCCCCCTTGAAAAGAGACAACTGAGAGGGGACCTCATCAATGTATATAAGTATATAAAGCAGTGGGTGCCAAGAGGATGGACCCAGGCTCTCCTCAGTAGTGCCAAGCAAGTAGGACAAG